AAATTAACTCAAAATGGATTATTGACCTAAATGTAAGAGCCAAAACTATAAAACTCCTAGAAGAAAAGAAGAATAGAATAGGAGAAAACCTTTATGACATTGGGCTTGGCATTGATTTTCTGAATAGGACACCAAAAGCACAGGCAACAAACACAAAAATAGACAAATGAGATCATTTCAAACTTAAAAACACCTGTGTACCAAAGGACACAATCAATGAGGTGAAAAAGCAACCTACAGAACAGGAGATTATATTTTTAAATAATATATCTGATAAAGAGTTAATTTCCAGAATATAACCCCTACAACTCAACTCAAAAGCTCCTACAACTCAACAACAAGCAATTAACTCAACTAAAAAATGTCCGAAGAACATAAAAAAGACATTTCCCCAAAGAAGATATACAAATGGCCAACAGGTATATGAAAAGGTGTTCAATAACACTAATCATTGGAGAAATGCAAATCAAAACCACAAAGAAGTATCATCCCACACCCATTAGGATGGCTACTATTGTTTTAAAAAAGTAAATAAATAACAAGTGTTGGTAAGGATATGGTGAAACTGGAACCCTTATGCGCCATTGGTGGGATTGTAAAATGGTGCAGCCACTGTGGAAAACAGTAATTGGTTCCTCAAAAAATTAAAAATAGAACTATCACACAATCCAGCAATCACACTATCCAAAAGAACAGAAAGCAGACTCTCAAAGAGATATTTGTAATCTATGTTCATAGCAGCAGCAGCATTCACAACAGCCAAGCAGTGCAAGCAACTTAAAAGTCCATCAGTAGATGAATGAGTAAAGATTAGTAGTTGCCAGAGCTGGGATAAAAATGTTCATAATTAAACAACAATGATAATTTGTTAGGCACAATGGTTTCTGGTTCTTGGAGTGATCAGCACCATCTTAAGGAAGTTGCTCTCAGTGACCACCAGTTCACACAGGGAGGGGTGAGCCTATGTCACTTGAAAGGAATGTTCTCACAAAGTAGGTCTAGTAAGTTGTTTACTGCCTTGGAATGTACAGTTCTTCACAGCCACCTGGCTACAAGCCACCTGTGTTCCTGGAGGCTACGTACATATGAACCCCTTATCCCCTTTGGGTGCAGTGGATGGGGATCCATCGGTGCCTAAGACTCTGCTTCTGATCTGCTTCCCTTAATAAACTCTTTGTTTAGCTCTGGAGTTGTTGGCCTCTTTCTTCCGGCTCAAGGCAACAGGATTCTAGGACACCTCGGGAAATTTTCCCAACGTGGTTACAAAACATTGTAAAAATACTGACAACCACTGAATTGTACACCTTAAAATGGTGAATCTTAAGGTTTGTAAATAATATCAACAAAAAAATAAGAATAGAAAGAAATGAGGAAAAGGGGAGAAGAGGCCAAATGGGGAGAAGGGAAGAGGAAAAAAAGGAGCAAGAAGAGAGAAAAAAAAATAGGAGAAAAAGAACTTAGATCAATCTCTACTTAAATCACATTTCTACACTTAGGGTAAAGACGGAACTGGCCAATGGCAGAACTAATACCAGGTCTAGCTAAGACTTAGGTCTTAGCTTTTCCTGGTAAGTTATGCAAGGTCCTCATTTCTATTTACTCTTAGAATGAACCATGCCAGTGCGTATTACAAAAGATGCAAATCAGGAAGAAGCAGAAATGACAAGGTACACTGTCCTGAAAAAGAGGTAGTAAGGAAGAAATAAGATTTTCAAAATTTAAACAGGCATAGTAACAAAAACACAAAAGGATAAGTTTATAAAGTGTAAAGTTAGATGTTGCAATCAAGTACTAAGTACCAAAATAATTATTCTAAAATAACATCTTTTGACCCTGTAATTCCCCTTTAGGCATCTGACAACTATGCAAAGATATTCATTCCCATTTTTTTTTTATAGCAGGAAAAAAAGAGACAACTTAAATATTCATCAGAAAAATAAATAAATTATGTGACTTACATAAAATACAATACTTTGTAGCCACTCATGTTACTTGACAATGGGATGATATCTACGACAAGCTGAAGACCCCAGTTACTAAACAGCATGTAAAATATTCTATTTATATAAAATGTTACTTATTCATTGGATTGAAATATCTCTGACATATACTTATTCCATAATGACAGAACTTTGAGTCATTTCTGCTTTCTTTTTTATCCTCTTCTGTATATTTTGAATTAATTGAACACTTTACTGCACATATATCATACAATAAAAACTTCTTTTATTAGCTCATACTACTTCTAAAAATTATTTTCAATTTAGACAAAAAGTTATCTTCAGAACTCATATTATTTCAAACACATGCCATAAAATATAATAAAGCTAAATAATCATATTTCACTGAATAGGCACTGGGTAAAATAAAGATGTTTTTGTTTAAATACTATACAGTCACTATAATAGTCACAATTAATTCAATAACCTAAAGGTTAGGTGCCCACATAATTTATCAAACAAACTGGGACACTTGTGAGAACGCAGGAATACACTATAAAGAATTACACTGGATACTGGTAAAAAAACTGAGACTAACCTGAGCAAATTAGGACATAAACTCATCCTACCCATAGGTTACTGGAATTATCAACCACAGAATAAGAATTCAAGAATTACATAGAGTTTAATGAAAAAGCCCCTGGCGCTGTATCAAAGTGACAAATCGCGAGGTAGTTCCAGCTGAGTCTCAGAGTTCTTGGTAGCAGTGGTTCCCGGCCGGCAATGCCAATCAACATTGTCCGGCAAGCTCTTCCAAACTTTTAACAATCCTGGACCCTTCCCCTGAGATTCTGATTCGTAAATCTATAACGGGGTCCAAGGAGCTGTTTTTGTTTGTTGGATTCTTTCTTTTCATGATTCTCATGCATACTCTTTGATGGTTAACTTTGTGTGTCAACTTGACGGGGCTAGGGGAAGCCTACACAGCTGGTATATTATTTCTGGGCACGTCTGTGAGGGTGTTTCTAGAGAGATAAGCATTTGAATCAGCAGAATGAGTGAAGACCACTCTCTCCAATACCGGAGGACCAGAATAAAACAAAAGCGGAAGGACAAATGAGCTCTCGTTTGAACTGCCCTAGGATACTAACGCTCCCTTTTCTCGGGCCTTCAGACTGGGATTTACCATCAGCCCTGATTCTCCGGATTTCGGTCTTGAGGGTTAGACTGGAACTACGCCACTGGCCGCCCCCCGAGGCCTCAAGTTTGCAGATTGTGGGGCTTCTCGGCCTCCATCTGGGCCAAGCCTTCATAATAAATCTTTCTATATATTTACATGTATCCTATTGGTTCTGTTTCTCTGACTAATACACACCCCAAATGAAAACTGCCACTAAGATGTGCGTCTCAAACTTTAATCTGCATATGAATCACCTGGGAATGTCATTAAAATGAAATTTACTCAATAAACTTAAGGTGGAACATTTCTAATAAAGTACCACAAGGTGCAAATGTCCTTGGTTCTCACTGGTGGGCCACACAAACTGTCATGGCTCAAAGGCCACATTTTACCCATCTGCTTATTCCCCAAAATGAAGAAATATTTAAGTAAGTGGAGAAACACATTCTCTTTTCAGTTCAGCATTACTAACTTTAAATCAAGGAGGAGGTCATACTTCTTGACTTAAGCTTAAAAATTCAAATTTAAATAGCTGCACTAAATCCTGAAATGATTAAAACTTAATGAACCAAGACAATATGGAATACTGAAAATATAGAGAAATTAGAGTAGTTTAAATGCTTTTTATAAAACTGGGACATAAAGAGAAAATCATATGTGGTGACCAACAGTTTCAATAAAAAGTAATTTTTCTGTCTCCAAGACCAACAAAATGGATTATCACACAGTCCCTAAATCATGGGAGGCAAATGTTTCTACCCAATGTTGGCTCAAATTTCACATTTTATATCACACTAAAACTAGCCCATATGCGATATAAATGTTTCATAAATAGCTATCCTATAAACTTATATAGAAACATTTACACTCCTTGTGGGATCCGGCTACTGATATTTACAATTCAATTTAAGTAGGCAAAGCAGAAGAATGTTTCTTTAAGAAGTCTCGGGATGCCAGACAACTCTGAAAGTTCCACCCCTATTTGTTAACCAAACGAGCCTCAAATACCAAATCCTTATTGAAATGAAACTTACACAAATGTCACTGCAAAAATAAATACCCTTATGCAAGAGAAGACATCAGCTAGAGTAGTGTTTACAGGTCTATCAATTTTCAGCATAAACCTTGACCTTAATAACCAGTACTGTCATAATCTCCTTTGTAGTCGCACAGTAAAGACTTTGCTTAAGTATAAAACTCCCTAACCTCTCTCTCCCCCAAGATTTACAGCCTGGTACTGAACCAGGTTAAGTACACTCCTTATTACTCTTATTATGCTCATTACATCTACTAAGAGAGTAATTAGTAGCACTGATTTGTAATCTAATTATTTTAATTAAGGAGAGAGCATTTCTCATTCACTTAGCCTGGTGCTCCATGGGGACAAACACATCTGTACTGATCACTGCTGGAAGCCTCGGGACCTATCAGGGCGCCAATAATTATCGGTAGGTTAGCTGGTTGAAGGAATGGGTACATGGATGGATGGTGTCTAAAACATAGTAGGTACCCAACAGATGTTCACTGAATTAACAACAAAGGGCTTATTTTCTGATTTCTTCATTACCAGATGTGTAAAACTCTATGTAATAAAAATCCTAAATTGAAATATACATTGCAAACTTTGCTTACACATATAGCTCACCTCTATGAAATGAGCACCAGTGTCACCAGTAGTATCTAAGGTGGCTGTGGCTGACCCTTAAACCAAAGTGTTCTTTTCTAGGCTCTTTATCGATATAGTTTTCTCTTCTGTGTCTTTACAATGCCTACCAGCATATCCAATTAAAATCGAGCTAAATAGATGGCAATCCCTCTTCCAGAATACTGACTCTGTTCTCTATTTCATTAATTCACCACACAAAAATGGAAAGCCTCACCATCACTAGGCGTCTCCAGGGGTTCCTTCGCAGGGCTTCCCTCATCTTCCTCCTCTCCAGGATTTTCGCTGGACTTTGACAGCCGATTTCTTAGAGATATCTCTTTACCCACCATTGTGTTATCTAGGAAAGACGTAAAAAGTTTTGACCTAAGAATCTGGTTTAGGCAAGTTTCACAACATCGCCATATTTAAGGGAGGTGAAAAATGATGATACATTCGCTTCCTTTTGTTTTACTTTAATCATGTTCGAGCATTTTCTGAGTACAAGATACAACAAATTTGAAGAAACGGGTCCCTATAAAGTAACCAGCTAGTTTCCGAAACCCTTATTTAAACATAGGCCCCATTCTTAAAGGACAATTTAGTTGAACAAACAAGGCATAAGTATATGAAAAATTAAGAATTCAATAACAAAAGGTATGTACAAAGATGCCACGAGGTAGGGTGTGATGAATATCAAGTCAATGATAAAAACAATAAATATATGAAGTTCCGAAACAGAGAGCCTTAAGAGATGTAAAGGTTTTACAAAAAAAGACAGTATTTGGATAGAGTCTTGAAGGACGAGAACAGAGCCCATGAGTGAGAAAGGGTTAAAATAAGGTCCTCAAAAGCCCTGGTCAGGGGACCATAACTGATCAGACTACTTTATGAGAGGACAAGAAACAAGCTTTTGTTGAACATCTACTAAGTGCAAGGACTGTGCTTCCAGTTTTTCGCATCTAATCTTCATAACAACTGTGCAAAAAGGTGTTATTACTCCTGGTTCACATATGAGAAAAAATAAGGCTCAGAGTAGTCGCTGTCCGTGCCCTCCACCCACACTCCAGGAGCTGACCGGTAGCTGAACAAACTGGGTTTATCTGGAACACACATGACAGACACTGCGGGGTGTCTCAGTGAGAGAGAATTAGAAATGACTTACATGGGGTTTGGGACTTGGCTAGGTGATTTTGGGGGAGAGTCCAAAGCAGTAGAGGTTCTCTCTGGTGTAGGGGGTATCAGTAAGCAGGGACAAGCCCGTGACTGGGTCAGTATATCAACAAATCTCTACAGGGAGGCTGACGAGAGGGGAGGCTAGAGCTGGAACTGGTAAAACAGCAACCATCATTCTCATTAGCCTGGGGAGAGCGATGCTGGAAACTCTGTGGCTTGGATAATGTTCATGTTTTGTCTGTGTTCAGATTATGGCGGGGTCTTGTTTTTGTCTTGGGCCATCCTGCCCAAACAATGGCCTTGTCTTGTGCTGGTGACCGGTGAAACAAACGGTGTTCAATAGAAGAACACTAAGAAGACCTAGTTGTTTGCTAAGAGTCAGGCTAGCTCGCACAACACGGCGCCTCGCCAAGAACACCAGCTCAGCTGGAGGACGCCTTCCCGTTACAGTAACTCACCCAAGACCACACAGCTAATGACAGGGACAGATCCGGACCTGGGTCTGATCCAAAGTACAAACGCTACTAACTATCTGAATTTTTTTTAAGTTGGTAACAGAAATGTGATGGGGGGAAAAAAACTAGAAAAGAGAGCTAGAGTCAAACTGAAAAGTCCTAAGAAATTAGTTTGTTTGTATTTTTTTTTTTTCAGCTAGGCAGTAGCGAGCCGTTTTAAGCACTGAGAAATATGATCAAAGTCAAATTTGGGGAGATCAATGTCAAGACAGAACTCCGAAGGTTTACTCCCAAGCAGTGTTTAACTATGTGTGACGTTTTCATTAGTCTGAAGCAAAAAGAAAAATAATGAAGTAATCTCTACATTATTTTTAAAGCTACATACTATTAAGTTCTAAGATTAAGGTCTTTCTAAACTTTTAGGTTAAAATTCCTATAGTACATGGCGAGTTTGATTGTCTTCTTAAATATCAAAGTCCTAAGAAATTAGTTTGTTTGTATTTTTTTTTTCAGCTAGGCAGTAGCAAGCCGTTTTAAGCACTGAGAAATATGATCAAAGTCAAATTTGGGGAGATCAATGTCAAGACAGAACTCCGAAGGTTTACTCCCAAGCAGTGTTTAACTATGTGTGATGTTTTCATTAGTCTGAAGCAAAAAAAAAAAAATAATGAAGTAATCTCTACATTATTTTTAAAGCTACATACTATTAAGTTCTAAGATTAAGGTCTTTCTAAACTTTTAGGTTAAAATTCCTATAGTACATGGCGAGTTCGATTGTCTTCTTAAATATCACTAGTTGGCAAAGTAAAAATCTGACAAAAATACAGATCCGTTCCCTTCTAATTTTTTTCAAAACTGTACAAATAAGACAATTACGAGGAGTAGATAAATATATCAAGTAGAAATTTTAGGAGACCAATAAGATCCAATTAAGAAGAATCTAAAAAAGATTCTTCTTAGGGCAACTGATAGATTTAAAGTCATTTGTGTAACAGTGACAGAGGAAGCCAGAAAAGCATCTAATTCTCCAAAAGAAACTATTAGAGAAGTGAAACCTGACAACTGAACTCTGAGGGCTGCCCTTACAGGAAGAGGTCGAGAAGTGAAATCAAGGAAGACAATAAGAAAGATACAAAAATGCAAAAAACGCAAAAACAAACAAAAAACGTGTTTCAAAAAGAAGGAATTATACAGGAGATAATGTGGATTAAAAATAGGGACTCTACTTTTGAAGTGCTTGTGCGCTTTATGTATTATGTATTTTAATTTCAATATAATCTTTAAAGTAGGTACTGTTAGTTTATTCCCCAAATATCGTCTTTGCTCACCACTCCTTCCCATTGACTCTTTCCTATCTCTAGAAAGTCAGTTCTCTCCAGCCCTTTCTTCATCTAGTAACCCTGCTCGCCCTTCAGAGTCAGAGTCAGAGTCAGAGCAGCAGCTTTGATTTAATGAGCAGCTATTAAGTAATTATACGAGGCACTATGCTGCTAAATCCTTTACATTTTCTTATTAAATCTTTACAAACTTAAGAGGTGGGTATTATCCTCATTTTACAAATGAGAAAAATATAGTTTAGGGAGGTGATTTAACTTGCCCCCAGTCATATGATCCTCCAACAGCTGAACTGGGATTCAAAACCAGAACTACCAGATTCCACCGCCTACCCTGACTACCCGGACTGCCTGACTCACTGACCTCTGCTAGGGTTTCTTTGACCCCCGTCTCTCATCCCACATTCCTCTGCAGTCCCGCTGCAGCCGATGCATCCTTTCACACTTACTACTATACTCAGAGAGCAATACTTACTATACTCAGAGAGCAATACTATCTGCCTCTCACATATCTTCTCAAAGACAGGGCCTACATGGCTTTTTCTCTTTGAATTCCCAAAAGCTACTGTGTGTGGGGCGGGTGGAGGGGTAATGTCTCTGGAGCATGATAGGCATGCATTAGTAGAGACAGTGGATGTATCAGTTAATACCACAAACAATTATTCTAAGTAACAGGATACAATGCTCTAAACTTAGAGAACCAAGAAATTACATGCTGGGAGGAAGCCAATGAGCATCATCTTTGCTATTAACAGCTTTATACATCCTACTCAACGAGATCTGCAACAATTCGCTATCTCCAAGACTCCTAAGGTTACTACAAAAACTACTTCAAATATTTCAATAATTGAAAGAAACAATTATATATTAATCACATAAAGCAAACAATACAAGCTAACAAAAACAGTGTTACTTTGCTTTTGGCTGACACTGTATCAACCCAGTGAGAAATGAGTGATCTCATCTTGATTAAAAGTGCTAAATTAAGAGGTAAAAAAATACTTAATACACCAAGTTTGATGAGTAAAAATGTTTAATAAGCAAAAAAATAAAAATGTTAAGCCTGGGTACCCTGCAGAAAAATGAAAAAATTAAAGGAGACCTTGGTGATGAGATTAGGGACCATCGAGCTAGTCTAGACAACAAAGCCTTACTTTCAGAGCTAAAACACAGGTACTGAGTTTGCATAATTACACTGCCGTAATTTAATCTACTTATTTCAGAAGTAAGCCAAAGAAGACAACACTAACTTCATAACTAAATTTTTATATCATAGTCTATACTACTATCGTTGGCCTCAATTTCCTCTATTAGCAGGAAGTAAGAATGGTTACAATGGGAAATAAGCATAGGATTTAGTATCAACACAGGATTTAGTATCACATCTGGCTCCGTCATATCACTATGTCCTTGGGTAAATCCTCCAATCTCTCTGAATCTGTTTCTTCGTCTAGAAAATGAAGATAAATAAAACTGCAGTTAATCGTCAGAAAAACAGTGAGATAATATACACTAAAGTGCCAGCATTTTATTAACAACCAAGTTTTAAAAATTAAGTGATCTAATACCTACATAACTGTATGCTAAATGATAGTCAAACATTAAGCCACATCATCCCTCAAACTCTATTTGTGTTGGCTTTTATGTACTAGATGAGGGTAAATAAAGTGCCATACTTCCTCAAATACAGTTCAAACACCATGCGGTTTCTAAGACAATGTTGACAGATTTTATTATTGTCATACACACAGATGTCTGGAAGAATAACTATTACTTAAAATGGCTCACCTCAATTTTGACCAAATCCTCAGACTATGTAAACCCTAAGATTACAAGGTGATGTCTGAATCGAGCTCCTCCTACCATCATGTCAACTAAAAGTGTACGGCTGTTACTGCAGAAAATGCAGCAAAACACAGAGACACGCAGCTCCACTGCTTTCTCCAGACAGGTGGATCGTTCTCGCCTCTGCGTGGCGAGCAGACCGCCACGAGGGCAAGAGTCCAGGCAAGGGAGCAGTCAGCGGCCGGCCGCAATCGTCCAGCGATTGAATCTATCCCCTTACCCATCTAGACACTAGCTAGGCAAACTACGTTAGCTGTTGCAAAGTCAAAAACTCAAACTGTGATTGATGCTAAGTGTCTCTAAGAGCTATCGTGGACCTCAGCCCTTATGTGTGAGGTGTGCCAGCGTTTCCTAGCCTTCTGGTTAAACAGGACCTGGAAGGGGATTTGTTTCCTATTACTCACTGGTCACTAAGCCAGATTATCACAACTGATGCATTGCAAGTAGTACTGTCTTCCTGGTCACTCCCCTTTGTGCTGGGGAGTGAACACCTTTCGCTTCAACGTCTATGTAAAAAGATTCACTGGCCTCCGATCTCCTTGACTTCTCCC